TAGAAAATGCTATTTTAAACCTGATTTTTTAATTTCTTTTTCCCCCAGGACTGAACAGGTGTACGTTGACTATGTGTTTTTTTCTTTTTTTTTTTTTTTTTAGCATTTTTACGGAGAAATGGAGTAGTTATTTGGGATCACTTATCATCCTTCCATTGTCTAGCAATGATTTGAAATGCAGTCCAAGAGAAAAAAAAAAAGAAAAAAAAAAAAAGGAAAAGAAAAAGAAAAAGGAAACTGAAAGCCAGGTTATAAACAGGCATTCAGTATTTCAGACTCCTCCTTGTGTCTTTACCATAGTAGTAGATTTCTGATTTGACCAGTTGCCCTGATGAAAGCCTATACAAAATAAGAGATCACCCCAACTCCATCTATATTCCCATAAAAGGAACAAAGCTTAAGAACTGCCTATTTTTCTCAGGTACACCTCTTCACCAAGCTTTCTACCATCCCCTCATCTCTCAGAATGTCAAAGTAGCAAAGAGCTCTTTTTTCTTCTAATTGAGACCTCACTGCAAACATTTTTGAAGCAAACTTCACATAAAAATCACTTCCAGTCCATTGACTTGCTAGTCTTCTGCTATATATACACAGAGTGAATTAGATGACTGCATAATACGCAAAGGATATATGGGACAGGCTAGAAATTTCTGTCATACAGGTGTAAAAGTGCTGGCCCTAACCTCTTGATCAGCTTTTTCTTCCTCTCTATCCCATACTTAACAAAGCTAATTCTCACTGTTCTTTTGGGGCTTTATTTGTGTGTGTTTGCAGACAGATTTTGCAGGATAGAATGATGTTTAAATTTTGCTTTTAGCAAATTTGCTTGATTCCATGGCAGTTCTCATGGCTTCTGTATCTGATTGCAACTGTATTTGAACTACCCAAAAGGATGAGGTTACTGACCTGTTAGCCTTCAGTGAAAGAAGGAAAAAAATATATTTTCAGGCATGCATAAGCAGCAGAAGAGTTCTGACCCAGTGTACTGAATGCTATTTCATACTCATGGCTCATGGAGAGCTGCCCAAAATAGATGATTACTATAGGGACACTTATGGAGGATACAAATGCCAGAGTCTCAGGTGTGAAGCAGGTACAGCCAAACTCAGTAGCACAGAACAACTCAATCAGGCCTGAAGAATCACTGCTGAATTGGAGAGAAGTCCCGCATATCGACACCATATTTATGGTATATATGCAGTGCCAGTTATGCATAAATTGACACATATAACCAACCTATTATTTTTATAGTTCTTCTGTGTAATATTCTCAGTATTGTTATCATTCCTGTTGTGTTGTTAAGCATAACACCATATGTCTGTAATTGTTATAGGAGATCTTTCCTCAGGCTCAACAGTTTTCAATAAATCATGATGTTTACATGGATCACAAACTATGGACAAACAACATCCTGAATTAACTTCTCTGGTAATCATGGTGGGATTTAATGATGAACATATTTATCAAACAAACAGATTAAAGTCCAGAGAATAAGAGATTAAGAAATATCAGAATATCATCTCAGTGGTCTGTATGAATCTTGTGTGCAATCACAAACTAATGTATTTATAATCACAGATTACTTTAAGAGGGATAAGAGGAGATAGAGGGATTCCAGCACCAAAGGACTGCCTCATAGCCAGACACTCAGACACTTTTTTTTTTTTTTTTGTACCATGGCTGTGGAAAACAAATGAAAAACAAGCAGTCAAAGCTAATCTACGTATTTGGATTACAGGGCATCTTGTATGCTATGACTCCTTCAAAGTTCACCTTCCAAGACACAAACTTTCCAAGTTCAATCACTGGACTACATGGGGACACTGCGAAGGGCTTTAATCTACTCAAGGAACATTGCTGCAATTTCTGGTTGTGCTGAAGCAGTTTTATTTTATGCATCGTTTGCTGTGGCTAACAGGCCCCACACACTGCCATTCTAGCAATACAAACAGGAAATTTTACATGCTGATCAAAAGATGAATTCCAGGTACTGTGCCAAGACATTCATCCCCCATCAAGCAGAATGTCCTTTTGAGAATGATAAATGCTTTTTTTTTTTCTCCATCAGTATATCATACTTGGGAGAAAAAAAAAAAAAAAAAAAAAAAAAGGTGGTTTGGTGGTTTTCCAGGAAAGTTAATGTTTATACCTGTCAACCTTGAAGGTGACTCTTAAGTTTATGTTATTCTCTTTTAAAGGTCCTGTAATGGGACAAAATCCAAGCAATAAAAACAGCAAAACCTAATGTGTGCTGAACACCTGTAGGTCTAAAGATCTTATAAAGGACTAATTTTTACAAAAGAGGGAAAAACATTAAATGTGACAAAAATCTACTAATAAGGGTACTATTTCAGATTTTTCTGACATCTTATGTCTTAGCTGGCCCATATCTCCCAAGTGACTTAAAACTGTTCCATGCTGAAAACTTTTTTTGTCTGGTTTATTGTAAAATTGTATTTAAATAGAACTTAATTCCATAATGACAATAGAAGGTTTTCTTAAATTGAGGCCCATGAAAAAAATTAGAATTTATATTGATGAATACATCTGTCTGTTTGTTCTGACTATGTTCCTGAGAAGGTGTAGGAATGGTCTCTATCACAAAAAAAAAAAAAAAAAAAAAAAAAAAAGCAAAATCTAAGTATGATCTTGCCTTGCTTCTCTGGTGTATGAAATAATTGAAATGCTATATGGGTGCATTTGCTTTCTTTTGATATTTCTCTAACTTGCAGTACAGAAACAGGTGTTCTGCTCAACATGCTGTGAGGAAAATTTGAGGCTTTAAAATCAAAGCATTTTTATTTCCTCCTAAGAATAAATCTAGGTTCATATTTACTGCAAGCTGAAATATCAGATGATAGCAAGTCAGCATCCTGCAATAATGTCATCACAGCTAATGATTTATCTGTGATCACCCTTCAATACTTGTTCCTTTGTTAAAATTTCCCTCTGGTTTTGTATTCTTTTAAGGTAATTACTGAAACCAAATAAAATGCTCAAAGGGTAATTTCAGAAAAAGAAAAAAAAAATGGTGCGGTTAGTACAGATCATTGAACAAAATATTTTTCTGCTGGCTATTCTAATTCCAGCCACACAAAAAACCTACATCAAAATACAGATATTGTCATTATAAAAACTCATTTTCTTATCTGTCTTACTCCCTCCCCCTAGGTATGTATATGGCAGCATGAAGCTTTTAGATGGTCTAGTAATGTCTTGTTTCCTTAGGTAATAACAATTACTTGAAATAAGAATAACTTGATTTTCATCTCTCACTGTTTAATTAAAAATAACAACAAATGCCCAGCATTATTCATTAATTTTCTTAAATTTTGTGATCCCTTGGAACTCAGTTATACAAATATAGTTTTGGTTTTGACTTGTTATTATGCATAATTTTAAAAATATTTGTTTGAGCAGAAAGCTGCCTTCTGTGGGACTAATATTTCCATTTCTGCTCCCATATGACATAAACATCACCTAAAAAAGAAGGAGACAATGTAGAAAACAAGAAAAATACTTGATCAGGAATGTAAATATTCACCATATTAATATATGCCAGGTAGAAGGGGTTATTTTCCCTTACATAAAAAAAGCATATATATATATATGTGTGTGTGTGTGTGTGTGTGTGTGTTTTCCTCATTCATTTTCCAGAACTAACTCTAATTTAAACCAACTGCAAAGCAGATTTGGTTTTTTTTTTTTTTTTTTTTTTTTTTTTTTTCAGAAGGTTACTGAAGAACACAAGATATATCTAACACTAATCTAATCTAATATTTCATTTCCCACCATAGGGAATGGCCCAGATTTGTAAATGCATATTTTTTGGTGTTTTTTTTTTTTCATATTTTTTTTTCAGCACTGGTAACCAGCTTAATAGCAGAGCTGTCTGTCCCTATATATACATATAATGACAAAGAGTCATCAAGATCTTAGTATATACTTTACTTAATATATACCTTACTCTCAGTTTTTAGGCAGGGTTTTGACATATTTTGTGTTTGCTTGTTTTATTTTGCTTTATTTTCTTGTTTTATTTAATATCTCCTTGCCAACATGCCATATTTTTGACTCCTTTTTCCTTTTGGACTGGAAGTTAAACTAAGGCCATAAAAGCCTGAAAGTTCAGAGTTGAAAAAAATTTGCATAAGTCTTCTAAAACTGGCCCAGAAACGCTGTCTCCTTCTCAGGGATGTGGCCCATGTCCACTTGGGATAGTTGATGCCGTGACATCCAGCTCACGTAGCTTTCTAGAGAAAGAAATACATGCGCACTGGTCTTCATGGAGGAAGCCCCAGCTTCTCAGGGTATCCAAACCCTCGTTCTACTCCTGCTCTCATTTTCATCTCCTTTCTTAGTGTGTTGGGTTTATGGGGCAATGTTTTGGTAGTAGAGACAGCCAGGAGGGACTGTGTGAGCAAAGCCCAGCAGCGCCCCATGATAGCAGAGCAGCTGCAGCTGACACAGCTGAGCCGTGTGCGATGCTGGGTGTGCTCTGGGAGAGCAGAGCTAAGGGAGGAAACACCACTGTGTGACAGCAGAGGGAGAGAGGGGTGAGCGCTGGGAGAGAAGCGGCCCTGCAGGCACCGATGGCAGTGCAGGAGGGCAGGAGGCGCTCCAGGTGCAGAGCAGGGGCTCCCTGCGGCCCAGGAGAGGCCCGTGGAGGAGCAGGCCGTACCCTGCAGATCTCCCCGTGCAGCCACGGAGGAGCCCCGCTGCAGCAGTGCGTGAGGCCTGGAGGAGGCACAGCCCGTGGATATCTCTGCAGCAGCATCCCAGGCCAGAGCTGCAGCCTGAGGAGAGCAGCCCGAAAGGAACTGCTGCCCGTGGGGACGGTGCCAGAGCGGTGTCTGAAGGCTCGGCCCCACAGTACGGAGCTTCGCTAAGGAGAGCTTGGAGAACTGCAGCCCGCGGGACTCCCGCGTTCAGTTCGGAAGGGATGGCATCTATGGGAGGAGCGGGGACAGCAGGCCCCATTCCCTGTCGCATTGCGCGGATTGGGGGGAGGAGGTAAACGGGGTAGAAGAGGGTAAATGGGTAGAAGGTGGCTTTACTTTGCTTTTTGTTTTTCAGTACTTTATTAGTAATAGACAATAATAGACAAGTAAATCCTTTACTGAGTCTGTTCCATAACAGTGATTGGTAAGTGGTCTCCCTGTCCTTTTCTCATCTCATAAGCTTTTTTTTTTTTTTTTTTTTTTTTTTCCATCAATTTTTTTCCCTTTTTTTCTTTAAGGAGTGGAGTGATGAGGCAAAGTGGTGGAGATTTGGTGTGAGACTACAACACCTGCTTACTGGGAACCTGGCTCCAGCCAAGTCTCCGTTCAACCTTTGGTAAAAGAAAATTCAATTTTGAATGCACTCCTGAAAAGGTGTGAGTTTGCTCTGGATGGGCTCATGTAGAAATCAGATGCAGTTATTATTTTGGCAAGGACACATAGTAGAAACCCTGTCAGGAAGTTTACTGATAACGAATCTCAGCAGGGCTTTTTCACTCCTCACATCAAATTAGTTCACTGTCTTCCCTACAAATGAATACTAAATGAAAATGAGACGTGTAGCAGTTTATCATCCACTTTGTACTTTTGAAAGTATGTATTTCAGTGGTTACTAACACAGAATGAAAGAACAAAGCCAAATTGCTTGAAATTTTTTATGTTTAGGAAACCAAACTTCAGTTAGTGAGAAGGTAAATCAGTTACTAAGTTGTTATTCACATATACACTTTGAGTCATTATGCAGTGCGTGTAGTCAAGAAGTAATATCAGTGTCATAAGAACAACACTGTGCTCTCAACAAGCACAAAAAGAGATGGGAAATTGTGCTGCATGTCTAATGTTCCTTATTGTAAAATGTGGCTAGACTTACGGTCATCCACATCTGCAGTCACAGCAGTACCCTATTTCTTGTTTGATATCCATATTAGAGATTAGCTGCTGAACTATGAGGCTCCCTGAATTATTTTCAAAATGCTTTTTTTTTTTTTTTTTTAAATGAGGTTTCTGAAATGTTTTAATGCATATGCACGCATGCAGAGATAAAAATACCTGAGCATAACAAAACTAAATGGTGGTTTAAAAGACACTTTAAAAAGTGTCTTTTGGAAACATGTAATCGATCACTCAGAACACTGAGTGGAAAGTTGGGTAACAAATCAATAACTGCCTTTGAGGACTGTGGAATATTCCAAATTGAATGTCATCATTTAAGCTCCAGCTTTTTCCTCATAGATTGATATGAGCTATTCGTTCAGAATTTAGTATGTATCCTTATGCTAGGTAAAGATGGAGGCAGTAATGGAATTGGCATCTTTTTTCATTGTTTATTTTAAACAATCAAATCTGTTTCACCTCTTAAAATAGAGGGATTAGTGGAATGAAATGGGCATATTGTTTTTTCAGGACTATTTTTGGGGAGGCTGTATAAATTTATATGAATCATACTGAGATATCTGGTGGTATGGAAACTGAAATTATGTCTAACAAAAGTGCATTTCAGATACAGTCTAATTTATCCTTAATATTTTACGTGCATTTACTCCATTAACATGTGAATACCTCTAAGACTTTGGTATCTGAAATCTGATGGAAATACTTGAAATAAAAAGGAAAACATCTAGAACAAACTAGAAGTTGAGAAAACAAGCAGATCACATGGGGAAAATGGCAGAAAGATCAAAATACTGGCCATCAGGTGTACTTAGCAGATTGAACCTCTGATTTATTGCAGGATATTTCCAAGTCCTTAGAAATCTTTACGCAAGTTGTTCAACATTCTTGAACTGTAAATAACACACTAATCAAGACAGTTGTTGCTGAATCATAGAACTGTAGGGGTTGGAAAGGACTACTGGAGATCATTGAGTCCAACCTCCTGTTAAAGCAGATTCCCTACAGAGGCTGCACAGGGAAGTGTCCAAATGAGTTTGAATAACTCCAGAGAAGGAGGCTTCTCAACCTCTGTGGGTAGACTGTCTCCCTCACAGTAAAGAAGTTCTTTTTCATGTTCAGATGGAAGTTCCAGTTTCTGTGTGTTGCCTCTTGTTTTCTTGCTGGGCACCACTGAAATGAGCCTTGTCCCATCCTCTTGATGCCTACTCCTTAGGTATTTATGAGCATTTACATTATTCCCTCTCAATCTTCTCCAGGCTGAACAGTATCAGGTTTATCAGCCTTTAATCATAAGAAAGATGAAGATGGGATATTCCTGAGTCATCTCTGGCCCTCCACTAGACTCTTCCCAGCAGTTCCCCGTGTTTCTTGAACTGAGAAGCCCAGAAGTGGACACAGTACTCCAGATGTGGCCTCACAGGGCAGTGTAGAGGGGGAGGATCACCTCCTTCCACCTGCTGGCTACACTCTTTTTGTTCTATAAGGTAATAACATTTGTCTTACAATACATCAAACATTAAATAGTATTATTAAGAAATTTAGTTACAAAATATGGTGGCCCTTTAACAAATTCTACCAGCAAAGTTCTATATAATGTCTATTTTAAAGAAAATATATTCACATCATAGGAAACCAACAGGTCTCATTTTAAACAACTTCAGTCTTGGATAAACCATTGGTTCCACAGAGTACATTCCTGTAACAGCAGCATCTAGGAGAATCATCAGCATCTCAAGTAAGCTCTATATTTTGTTCCTCTCACATTTTGTTCTTGCTATGCAAGAAAAAGTTTCTGGGATATTTTATTATATGTATGTTTCCATTCAGTGCAAGTCTCATAAGTTCATAAATAATGGAGTAGTAGGTAGTCTCGTTACACTAAAAGAATATTGATGAAATTGCATTGCATTATTCTTCTATCTCAATTTTACAGTAGGAAAGACTGGTAAATAGTGTTAAATATAAGTATTGTAATTCAATATTAGTACAGCTATTCTTGCAGCCATTGTTAATAAATTCTTTGTAATATAGTTCACATTTTTCTTCTTTGTAAAAGTAAGGTGTATATGTGGTAAGTGGCTAAAATAAAGTAATACTAATTTTAACTGGAAACTGGAGACAATAATAATGTGTTATGTTAATATGTTCATAAACAACTTAATTACAGCTATAAATTGAAAGTATAGTTTTGTGCTGCTGCCACAGAGATTAATAAAATAGTCTAAGAATTAATGACATGAATCTAATAATTCAAGTCTTAGTGGCAGATGTGCTGTCTTTCTGTTCTGTTTCAGTGGTATCTGCATAGAAACAGTGTTTTTTATCTAAATCTAGTTCTGTCTATGAGTGCAAATCCTTGTTTCTTGCGTGACAAGGACAGTGAGTAACTACGTAGTGGCATATAGACTTATTTTGCTCAGATTCTAAATTAATAGTCAGCATTACTTTTAAAAATAAATAGTAGGAATTTCAAAATAATACTGATTTTTGAAGCAAATAAGCTACTGTGAAGAACAGCAGAAGAAAGGTGTTTGGTGGAGGTACAGAAGGTGATCACATTGTTGAGATTTAGTGTTTTCTTATTTTGATAAGGATTATTTGGAATACTGTGCTTTCTAAAATGTAATCTTAGCTACAGCTGTACAGCATAAGCTGAGATAACACAGTTATCCTCACCCCCCAAAACAGTGTGATCAACAGGGAGTTGAGTTGGAAGCTTGTAGACTTACTTGTAGACTTGCATCCTTTTTTTCATATGCCTGTTTTCATACCCCAGTTATCTCATCCCTTGACCTAAACCTTTTATGAAACTCCTGCCAAGCAAGGGACAGTTAGTGTATCCATCTGCAGCACCAGGTCTGGGGTCAGTCGATCCTATGAACAAAGATTGCCCAGTTGTTTCCTGCTAACAGTATGAGAATTACCACCCTCAAAGGAAATATTTCTACTCTCTCTCTCCTCTAGAACTTCTGGGAGCATCACTGCCTATGATTTTGCATCCTTCTGTCATACCTCAGAGTGAGAAATGGAAGAATGTAATGTGTGCTTATACAGAGTCCAATGTGAAAAGCTTCTATCCTACAGAAGCCTGCTTCCTTAGCAAACCCATCACAGTTTAACATTTTCCATAGATTTTGTTAGAATGGTGCATATGGTTTACCAGTGCATTCACTTAGAGCAGCAAAGGAAGTCCAGGAGTCACAATGCAGCACTATCCGGAAAATAAAACATGCTTCACTCTGTATGAGGGTTGTGGAATGTGATTCTTAAAAAATAAAAAAAAAAAGTATATCCCATGCCTTTGTCTTCAGCTTGTGAACTGCAAATTAAACTACTGACTAGAGTGACAAAGACAAGATAATTATCTCCACTAACTTTTTAGTGGAGACAGCTATCAATGTCAATCGTACTCTCCTTCTCTACGCTTCAGTAATTCCTAATGAAGATCTATGAGAAAAAAATAGAAAGGACTTTTTTTTTTAATGTTAAGTACCTGTCACAGTCAAAGTTTCGCAAAGCCCTTTAATAAGTAATGAATGCAATACTGGCAAAGCAGATTCTCTAAGTGCAAAGAGAAGCGTTAGAACCAAAACGGTTGTTCCCACCAGTTTGGGTCTGAGAGGCTGTTTTCTGGTGGTAACAGACAACAGCCCTCAACAGGGATTTATCTGCCCACCAGTCCTGCCTGCTGTGAAACTAAAAGCAGGGTCTCTGAGAACTGATTTAATTCTTCATTTTGTACTTTCAATCCTGAGCATTCTCAGATAATAGGATTTGTACACAAGCAAGATTTTGTCTAAAGTCTAACATCTTTTTGCTGATTTTAAAATATCTTCATTACAAATAGATGGGAATGTATTTTCTAAAATTTCTACAATTTGTTAGAATAGTTCTGATAATAGTATATTTCATAGATTAAAGGGAAAGTAACTCTAAAGCTCTTAATATGAAATATGTTGAGTTTGAATAAGCCATATCCAACAGCATATGCAATTCTAACCATAACAGATTTCATTTTCTGAACCAGTGATGATGTTGAAAAAAATTTTTCTCTAACACTGTTTGAATTCAGTTCTGACATTCAGAACTGACATTTTTCTTGCACCAATGTAGATTTTACAGCTTTGAAAAAAAAAAAAAAAGGCTTACATGTCAGTTTTATGAAGGCCCACATACTTCATCATAATTTGTATAAATAAAGTTCAGATTTCAAACACATTTTTTTTTCCCACTGATTTGTCTTGACTGTAGATGGACTGTAGATGTTTTAGACAAGACTTTAAGACAAAATTAAGAAGATATATCTCCTGTTTTGCTTATAATTTGGTTATAAAAGATAAGATTTGGGTTATGAGTGCATATCAGGAAAATGAAGGATAAACTTTAAAAAAAAAATAACCTGACAACACAGTAAATTGCACGTGGTTTATAATTTGAGAAATTATTATACTTTTAACAGTGACGTGGTATTTTTAAGAAGTTCTCATAAGATTTAACCATAAAGTCATTGCAGTAAATTGTCTTTGATAATTACACATAACAAGGCTACATAATGTAACGCAGATAATGAGATTTTAATTCACCAATCCATCTTGTGAATGAGTACAAAAGGTAGCAGTCAGCCTCCACAGTACTTCATACAGTTTTAGTGCCAGTCCTGTTCTGCATGTGTGTTAGCCTGCCTGCAGTGCCATTATTTATGCAGTCCCTTGAGGAAAACAATTTTGCTCACATTTCAGAGGCTTTTTACAAAATTCATTCATAAAGAGATGAGTTATGTCTTTTTAATAGATTTCCTGACTAAAGTGCAGTTCTAGTAGACATTATGCTGTTGGTCCCTTCTCTAGAGCTGTGTTTTGGGGCAGGGAAGTACACACCAAGAAAGTATGGTTTTCATTACTGGTACATACTGCACTATAAAACAACCTGCTTCCCAAAATCATGAACATGACTGTGTAAAAGTAGCTAAAGATATTGCAACTTGTTAACTTTTATCCTTTACAGCATCTGCTTACTGCACTAGGCACATAAAACCACCAGCTGTAGAAAAAAAGATAGTCTTGTAGGTACAAATCATATGGAAATATTAAAGGAATAACAGGATCCAGACCATCTAATCTAAGTGTCTAAAGTCCATTTACTTTTATGTATGGAATGAAGCAACCTGTGTGAAATAAGCACTTATGTTTCTCAGCAGTTAATGGGGAGAGGAGGAGCTTTTAAAGATCTCCACAGAAAGGGAAACTGTGTATTCTGAATAGTGTTGCAGTTTAGTGGCTTTCACTGCCATGTACATTTTCACAACTAGCTGGAGTTACTACTTTGTTAAAGCACAGAAAATTTGTGCAGAAGTTATTTGCACCAGCTAAGCAGACCATATCTCACCTGCAGTGTCCTGGACACTATGGTAATGCATGTGAACATGCATACAGTTTAAGAGGTCAAATACTCGGCGCATAAACCACAATGATAAGCAGCTCTTTGTTTTTGAAAAGCTAACTCCCTGGGCCTGTTAAGAAGCTCTGTGCAAATGTAATAAACATCCAAAATTTCAATCCTTTTTTTTTTTTTTCCAAATCAAAATGAAATTGTACAGCAAAGAAAGAAAACCCGTTTGGGGAGTTTCAGACAGAAGGATAAAAGTGTTATTCTAAAATTGTTATTCTAAAACAATTTTTATTGTAGATTATGTCCTAAACCAATGTATTTTCTTACAAACAAAAAGAAAAATCAAGTCCTTGTGGGTTACAACACATTTTGTCATTTCAGCATAGGCTATTTTAATTTATTTTCATAAATGAGTATTTCTCAAAAACAATTCCCGAAAAAGGTTCAGTGTTGAAGAGAAGACTTGTTTTCTGTCCGTCTGAAGATTTTAAACCCTATACATATAATGTAATATAATTTGTGATACTTTTCAATATCACTATTAAGTTTGTGATAGTGGTGTTTAGCTTAACCAATCACAGAACTGTATTGACTCAAGCTATAACCATGATCCAACACATGAAAGCTGTTTCGTATCCAAAGTTAAAAATAATAGTTATTTTTAATGGGAAAACTAGCTTTTGCTCTTGTTAGCTGCAAAAATAACTCAGTAGCTTTTTTTGTTTTAGATGTTTTTCACTGGTTTATATGCTTTTGCACTTGAAGTATGTGTGCTGAATTTTCCCTGGGTTTATAGCTGTCATAAACATGCTTTCATATGCTACAAAAGATCTGGGCAAGTCACACTTGCTTTGTACTAGAGTTTAAACCCCTTGGACTCAAA